ATTTCAATAGTGTCAGCATGGATTTGAATATTGACAATATGAACAATTGTGATGATGATTTAAGTAGCCGTGCGGCTAAACCTACACAAGAATACACTGATTATAAGATTGAACTATGTGTGAAACGTTTCAAATCTGCACTATCTGCATGGCGTCGGCAGGCGAGTAGTGTCATGAAGTTAGTATCTGACAGTGTGGACATATCTGAACTGCGTTCAATTCGTGATTGTTTAGAAGACCGTATGGCAATTGTGTGTAGTGAACATTGGAAACTAACTGAATTCAATTATTCTGATGAACATTTGCTTGCAAAATTTGACGAGATTGAATCAAAACATTTTGATTTAATTAAATCCGTGAGTGATAAACTGTGTGAACTTGAATTTGGTTTGAGTGAACGGAAATTCCCTGACAGCAAATCATGTAAATCTGTAAAGACTAAGTCATCAAAAATGTCGAATGTGTCAAAACTGTATGAGACCAAAATTGCTGCTACAGCCGAAGCTGCAGCATTAAACACTAAATTGAAATTTTTTGAAGTTGAAAATCAAAAGAGAGCTGAGCTTGAAAGGTGTCAAACTGAAATGAAATTATCTATGGCTATGGCACAATTAGAAGCTGTAGAGAAATGAATACTCAGTTTGTCCGTGCAGGGTTTTCGAAAACATCACACACACACACACACACGCACGCGCACGCACACGCACACACACACACACACACACACGCACACACACGCACACACAAGGAAATACATACAGAAATACATAAGGAAATACACACACACTACCTCTGTCAGTGTAACTAGTAATTTAACTTTCAAAACCACACACAGTAGTACAGACAGTAGTACACACACACACACGCACGCACGCACGCACGCACGCGCGCCTGTAAGCTTGACCGGATGAACACATTTTTGGATCAACGAATCCTCGCTTCAGAGAGATGTTCTGTAGTAGAAGTTGACGTTTCTGACGGAAACACAAAAATGCTAAGTTTCGGGTTGCTTTTGTTTTTGTGGGGGTTCTTTTCGGGTGAAGTGGGTAACGAGCTTTCACTGTATGGTGTTACGTTTTTCCATCTGTACCTCTGTTAGTGTAACAAGTAATTTTACTCTCAAAACCACACACAGTAGTACAAGAGCACAGTTTACATAATATTTACAATTATATTCAAAATTGCGCCTTTTGAAAGACAATCCCATCAATACTGGTATGATATACAACATATTTTTTGCTGACAGTAGTGAGATAAATATCCTTTAGTAGTGTAGGTCATAACAACACGTCTATATTCATATTCGCTTGGCCAATAAAAACCTTTCCTGTAAATACATGTACAAATATATCTATGAGAACTATAATAAGGATATCTGAATAGATAGTGAAATCCACAATAGATGAACAGACGCACATACGTTCTGTAACAGTTAAATGTAAATGCACTTGTCCATCCAAGGTTGATCAGGGAGCCAAATGTGGATTCATGTTTATTTTTAGTTTGTTCTTTATGTTGTTTATTTAATATTTAGGTTAGTATGTGGTGTAGAATAAAAGAAATAATCTGACATATGTTTCAGGTCAGCGAAATTGAGTTATTCATTTAATTAACTGGCATATGCATACCAGATAACAAATGGCCATTTTGACGAGTGTAACAGCGGGCAATTATCGGAAGGATAAGCAGGTCATATCTAATAGTAGCATATGTTATATGACAGATCAAATGCTGGCACAAACAGAATAATAATTTGGATCAATCTGGGGTTTAAACTCATCATCTGACTGGTCCGTAGACGTCGATGAAGGGATACGCACTTGGTTTATTTCGTAAGCATGCAGGCCTTCGGTTTATAATCACACAAATACATACGATGCATGTACACTATCAAGCATCATATGCACAACTTACACCTCAAACTCATTGAACACATTAGATGATCGTGACATGTCATTTCAGGGCGTTTTCATTTTGTTAGTGACACGTAAATATAGAACTTTTTGAATGCATCATACTGTCTGTTTTGTAGTAGGGGTACTTCCAAATATACATCTAAAGATTCTCTTTGCATACCACCTTTACATCAGAACAGAACAGCAGAATTTCTGGACGTCTTCACAGCAGACGCAATATCGTATTTAGTTTCCGGTATAGCAAGACATAGTAACCCTTTCCGCGAACGCCTGGTGTCATTGCTAATATACAGTAATTCATTGACTTCATTTGACTTTAACACCCAATGGAATCTGTTTAGGATACTGGTTATTCTCTTAACTTTACGTTATATAATTACTTTAACTGGGTCGATGTTTCTGCTTGTTGACTGCATGCCTCTTTACAAGAAATGGTCACTGTTTTTACTTACACATCGCAGACTTAAAATTACGTAAGCTTTTTCCCAAAACATCCAGGCAGATATAATTTTCTCAGATCATAGAATATGAGCAAATTAATAGAAAATGGAATTCGTTCCCTGTACACTTATTGCAAGCTGGACATTTTGTAGGTTATGTTTCTATAGCTAAGTATCTTCTTTTCATTGTTTTTCGTTTTAAAAAGACCAGCTCGAAATGTTACAATAATCATTATGATTCTAAGCATGCTGTCAATTAAACTGGTGGCTTATAAAGATCAATGAAATGAGAAATGAGTATTGAATGAATAGTAGACCAATGTATGGCACCCACATTTATCTAAATACAGTATCATCATTTATGTAACCAGTCACAAGCGAAATTTCTTACATATCAGAAAATAATTGCATATCACTATTGCCATTGGAAATAACTTCATTTGATGCACGTTTGAAGAGTTAAAAGAGGGATTAATAAACATCCTCGACGTAACTAGTTGAACAATCAAAAAATCTGTTAAACTTATATAGCCTCTTACACAGGATCTAACGCATTCATGTACACTTCGTATAGCTTTCAGTTTAACAATTTGCTATTCGGAGCACTCAACACATGTGTCTACTGCTTCATTTATATCAATATTTTCAATACTCATGAAACAATTAGAGGACACCACAAAGCTTATCTATAATCCATTTACCGACATTCCATACTCCACTGGTATTCAAATGATTGATTGTTTAGGTTTAGTCTCCATCGTGTATTGAACTGTCATGGTTGATATAGCGTGAACAGCAGTATGAACTGTCAGCATCTGATCAAACAAAATGAGCCTGCTCACACATTAAGACCACTTGTCCATCAGCTCTTATAACCAGCAGGGGGTTGTTGTGGGCTATTCCGACCACGTCACGGCGAGGAACGAGCGAGTGGGCATCAACACAACGAAAGGTGGTAATGTTGTAAAAAATATTTGCATTTTGGTGTATAAGACTTTAATCTGTTATGCGTTCAGTGGACAATCTTTGACACACATCCAATCACTTGGAAATCTTAGTATCCATCAATGACGCGAATGTAGCATGGAAGGATGAAAGAATATTTCCTTGTGACGTATAGGAAGGGGTTTATCATTGCAGTGTATAGGAAGGGGTTTATCATTGCAGTGTATAGGAAGGGGTTTATCATTGCAGTGTATAGGAAGGGGTTTATCATTGCAGTGTATAGGAAGGGGTTTATCATTGCAGTGTATAGGAAGGGGTTTATCATTGCAGTGTATAGGAAGGGGTTTATCATTGCAGTGTAGAGGAAGAAGTTTATCATTGCAGTGTATAGGAAGGGGTTTATCATTGCAGTGTATAGGAAGGGGTTTATCATTGCAGTGTATAGGAAGGGGTTTATCATTGCAGTGTATAGGAAGGGGTTTATCATTGCAGTGTATAGGAAGGGGTTTATCATTGCAGTGTAGAGGAAGAAGTTTATCATTGCAGTGCAGAGCAAGAGATTTATCTTTGCAGTGTTGGAGAAAGGGTTAATCATTGCAGTGTGGACGGAATAGTTCATTATGGCATTGTGTAGAAAAGGGTTTATCAGTGCCGTGTAGAGGACATAGATCAACATTGCAGGGGTGAGAAAAGAATTCATTATTGCAGTGCAGAGCAAGAGATTTATCTTTGCAGTGTTGGAGAAAGGGTTAATCATTGCAGTGTGGACGGAATAGTTCATTTTGGCATTGTGTAGAAAAGGGTTTATCAGTGCCGTGTAGAGGACATAGATCAACATTGCAGGGGTGAGAAAAGAATTCCTTATTGCAGTGCAGAGCAAGATGTTTATCATTGCAGTGTTGAAGAAAGAGTGAATTATACATATATACGGAATAGTTCATCGTGGCATTGTGTAGAAAAGAGTTTATCAATGCAGTGTAGCTGAAAGAGATTATCATTGCAGGAGGGAGAAAAGAAGTTGTTATTGCATTGTAGAGGAAGAAGTTTATCATTGCAATGTAGAAGAAAAAGGTTATTATTGCAGTGTGGAGGAAGAAGTCTTTCATCGCAGTGTAGATTCAGTATTGCATTATAGAAGGAGAGGTTTTGTCTTTGCAGTGTGGACGGAGGGATTCAATACTGTAGTGTAGAGAAAGACGTTTATCATTGCAGTATAGAGGAAGACGTTTATCATTGCAGCGTGCCGCTTGTTGCCTCTTGGGTGTGTCTTAGCATTACACGATAAATTAACACTAGGTCTTAATGCATAGCCGGAACCAGAAGGGGGTGTCCGGACCCCTCTTTTGAAAACCAAATGTAGTATATTGCAGGTAGTAATATTATGTGAGAGAGGATTTTGATATTTTGGACCTGTCCCTTTTCAAAATGCTGGATCTGTCCTTGTAATGAACTTGTCTTCATCGATCACAGAGATGACTCGACTGAATAATTAGATGCACCCAATCCTGGAAGTCTTTCATTACTGTCAAGGTAAATCTTTATAATTTGACAATCAGGAACCATGTTGAAATTAAAAACAACTGATATGAGTGAACAAGCTGAAAATGAGTTTTAGAAATTCTGGCACCATGCTGACAGGAGGTAAGAAGAATGGACTTGTCACAATTAAACCTGGGGCTCATTGAGAGTAAAAAGCGCACTACCTAGAGGGCTCCTGAGCAAGCAGGTTTGGGAAGGTAGTCTGCACAGTGGTGGTCTGCACAGTAGAACAGTAGTGGTCAGCACAGTGGTGGTCTGCACAGTAGAACAGTAGTGGTCAGCACAGTGGTGGTCTGGACAGTGGTGGTCTGCACAGTAGAACAGTGGTGGTCTGCACAGTGGTGGTCTGCACAGTGGTGGTCTGCACAGTAGTGGTCTGCACAGTGGTGATCTGCACAGTAGAACAGTAGTGGTCTGCACATTAGTGGTCAGCACAGTGGTGGTCTGCAAAGTGGTGGTCTGCACATCAGTGGTCTGCACAGTGGTGATCTGCACAGTGGTGGTCAGCACAGTGGTGGTCTGCACAGTGGTGGTCTGCACATTAGGGGTCTGCACATTAGTGGTCTGCACAGTGCTGGTCTGCACAGTGCTGGTCTGCACAGTGCTGGTCTGCACAGTGCTGGTCAGCACAGTGGTGGTCTGGACAGGGGTGGTCTGCACAGTGGTGGTCTGCACTGTGGTGGTCTGCACATTACTGGTCTGCACAGTAGAACAGTAGTGGTCAGCACAGTGGTGGTCTGCACAGTGGTGGTCTGCACATTGGTGGTCTGCACAGTGGTGATCTGCACATTAGTGGTCTGCACAACTGTGGTCTGCACAGTAGTGATCTGCACATCAGTGGTCTGCACATTAGTGGTCTGCACAGTGGTGATCTGCACATTAGTGGTCTGCACAGTAGTGGCCTGCACAGTGGTGGTCTGCACAGTGGTGGTCTGCACATTAGTGGTCTGCACATTAGTGGTATGCACAGTAGAACAGTATTGGTCAGCACAGTAGTGGTCTGCACATTGGTGGTCTGCACAGTGGTGGTCTGCACAGTGGTGATCTTCACAGTAGTGGTCTGCATATTAGGGGTCTGCACAGTAGTGGCCTCCACAGTGGTGGTCTGCACAGTGGTGGTCTGCACAGTAGAACAGTAGTGGTCTGCACAGTGGTGGTCTGCACAGTGGTGGTCTGCACATTAGTCGTCTGCACATTTGTGGTCTGCACAGTGGTGATCTGCACATCAGTGGTCTGCACAGTAGTGGTCTGCACAGTAGTGGTCTGCACAGTGGTGGTGTGCACAGTGGTGATCTGCACATTAGTGGTCTTCACATTGGTGGTCTGCACAGTGGTGATCTGCACATCAGTGGTCTGCACATTAGTGGTCTGCACAGTGGTGATCTGCACATTAGTGGTCTGCACATTAGTGGCCTGCACAGTAGAACAGTAGTGGTCAGCACAGTGGTGGTCTTCACATTAGTGGTCTGCACATTGGTGGTCTGCACAGTGGTGATCTGCACAGTGGTGGTCTGCACATAAGTGGTCTGCACAGTGGTGATCTGCACATTAGTGGTCTGCACATTGGTGGTTTGCACAGTGGTGATCTGCACATCAGTGGTCTGCACATTAGTGGTCTGCACAGTGGTGATCTGCACATTGGTGGTCTGCATAGTGGTGCTCTGCACATTAGTGGTCTGCACAGTGGTGGTCTGGACAGTAGTGGTCTGCACAGTGGTGATCTGCACAGTAGTGGTCTACACAGTGGTGGTCTGGACAGTGGTGGTCTGCACAGTAGTGGTCTGCACAGTGGTGGTCTGCACAGTGGTGGTCTGCACAGTAGAACAGTAGTGGTCTGTACAGTGGTGATCTGCAAATTAGTGGTCTGCACAGTAGTGGTCTGCACAGTGGTGGTCTGCACAGTGGTGGTCTGCACATAAGTGATCTGCACAGTGGTGGTCTGCACAGTAGTGGTCTGCACAGTGGTGGTCTGCACGGTGGTGGTCTGCACAGTAGTGGTCTGCACAGTGGTGGTCTGCACAGTAGAACAGTAGAGGTCTGTACAGTGGTGATCTGCACAGTAGAATAGTAGTGGTCTGCACATTAGTGGTCTGCACAGTGGTGGTCTGCACAGTAGAACAGTAGTGGTCTGTACAGTGGTGATCTGCAAATTAGTGGTCTGCACAGTAGTGGTCTGCACAGTGGTGGTCTGCACAGTGGTGGTCTGCACAGTAGTGGTCTGCACAGTGGTGATCTGCACATAAGTGATCTGCACAGTGGTGGTCTGCACAGTAGTGGTCTGCACAGTGGTGGTCTGCACGGTGGTGGTCTGCACAGTAGTGGTCTGCACAGTGGTGGTCTGCACAGTAGAACAGTAGAGGTCTGTACAGTGGTGATCTGCACAGTAGAACAGTAGTGGTCTGCACATTAGTGGTCTGCAGAGTGGTGGTCTGCACAGTGGTGGTCTGCACAGTAGAACAGTAGTGGTCTGTACAGTGGTGATCTGCAAATTAGTGGTCTGCACAGTAGTGGTCTGCACAGTGGTGGTCTGCACAGTGGTGGTCTGCACAGTAGTGGTCTGCACAGTGGTGATCTGCACAGTGGAGGTCTGCACAGTGGTGGTCTGCACAGTAGTGGCCTGCACAGTGGTGGTCTGCACAGTGGTGGTCTGCACAGTAGAACAGTAGTGGTCTGCACAGTAGTGGTCTGCAGAGTGGTGGTCTGCACAGTAGTGGGCTGCACAGTAGTGGTCTGCACATAAGTGGTCTGCACATTGGTGGTCTGCACATTAGTGGTCTGCACACTAGTGGTCTGCACATTAGTGGTCTGCACATTATTACTACACAATAGTGGTCTGCACAGTGGTGGTCTTCACTTAAGTGGTCTGCACAGTAGTGGTCTGCACAGTGGTGGTCTGCACATTAGTGGTCTGCACAGTGATGGTCTGCACATTAGTGGTCTGCACAGTAGAACAGTAGTGGTCTGCACAGTGGTGGTCTGCACATTAGTGGTCTGCACAGTAGAACAGTGGTGGTCTGCACAGTGGTGGTCTGCACATTAGTGGGTTTTGACAGCCGGGACCAAGTCGGACCCAACACAAGCCAAACACTTCTGATAGAGACTATGTTGAGAATGAAGAGGGAAAAGGGCTTCACTTTAAGCCCCTTGTTTTCTTTAAGTACAGCGATCTGAGACACTATAAAGTGGTATTTAGGTAGATATAATAGTAATCTATAGATGTGAATCCATTTGATGATACATCTGTGAGGTTTAAGTTGATTTTGACAGCCCGGGCCAAGTCGGACCGAACACTTCTAACACGGATTTTCTTAAGAAAATACAGTAAAAATGCTTTACTTTGAGCCCCTTGTTTTCTTTAAATACGATGTACCGGGACATTATTAAGTGGTATATAGGTAGATGTTATACTAATCTATAGATGTAAACACATTTTAAGATACATCTGTGCGTTTAAAGTAGATTTTGACAGCCGGGCCAAGTCGGACCCAACACAAGCCGAACACTTCTGATAGAGACTATGTTGAGAATGTAGAGGGAAAAGGGCTTCACTTTGAGCCCCTTGTTTTCTTTAAGTACAGCGATCTGAGACACTATAAAGTGGTATTTAGGTAGATATAATAGTAATCTATAGATATGAATCCATTTGATGATACATCTGTGAGGTTTGAGTTGATTTCGACAGCCCGGGCCAAGTCGGACCGAACACTTCTAACACGGATTTTCTTAAGAAAATACAGTACAAATGCTTCACTTTGAGCCCCTTGTTTTCTTTAAATACGATGTACCGTGACATTATTAAGTGGTATATAGGTAGATGTTATACTAATCTATAGATGTAAACACATTTTAAGATACATCTGTGCGTTTAAAGTAGATTTTGACAGCCCGGGCCAAGTCGGACCCAACACAAGCCAAACACTTCTGATAGAGACTATGTTGAGAATGTAGAGGGAAAAGGGCTTCACTTTAAGCCTCTTGTTTTCTATAAATACTGCGATCTGAGCCATTATAAAGTGGTGTATATGTAGATATAACACTAATCTATGCATGTAAACACATTTGATGATACATCTGTGTGTTTAAAGTAGATTTTGACCGCCCGGGCCAAGTCCGTCCCAACACAAGCCAAACACTTCTGATGGAGACTATGTTGAGAATGTAGACGGAAAAATGCTTCACTTTGAGCCCCTTGTTTTCTTTAAATACGATGTACCGTGACATTATAAAGTGATATATAGGTAGATTTAATATTAATCTATAGATGTAAACACATTTGAAGATAGATTTTTGTGTTTATAGAAGATTTTGACAGCCCGGACCAAGTCGGACCCAACACAAGCCAAACACTTCTGATGGAGACTATGTTGAGAATGTAGACGGAAAAATGCTTCACTTTGAGCCCCTTGTTTTCTTTAAATACGATGTACCGTGACATTATAAAGTGATATATAGGTAGATTTAATATTAATCTATAGATGTAAACACATTTGAAGATAGATTTTTGTGTTTATAGAAGATTTTGACAGCCCGGACCAAGTCGGACCCAACACAAGCCAAACACTTCTGATAGAGGCTATGTCTATGATGTAGAGGGAAAAGGGCTTCACTTTGAGCCCCTTGTTTTCTTTAAAGACAATGTACTGATACATTATAAAGTGGTATATAGGTAGATATAACACTGATCTATAGATGTAAACACATTTGATTATACTTTTATGTGTTTAAAGTTGATTTTGACAGCCCGGGCCAAGTCGGACCCAACACTTCTGATAGAGACTTTCTTAAGAAAATACAGGAAAAGTGTTTGACTTTAACGGACAAGTTTTCATAATAGTAAAGGTTATTTAGGGATTCTCAACACGTTAATTAATGAAAGAAGAGTAGTCAAAACACTGTCGTTTCCTGCCCAGGACATCACACCCCTACACGCTAAGGTCGGTGAGAAGCATTCTAATCAAAGAATACAAACAGGCAAGACACTGACTTTTCTACGAGACTCACGGTATGTAGTCATAATCATCAGTTTATTACATTGTTGAAGGTGCATTTTTATTCAAACTCAATTAAATGAGCAAAACTATACGTTTGTGGACATTTGAGATCTGCCTAGATATGCGCGTTTCGTATTATTATTCTGCAATCCATTTTTAGTATTACCCGCTGGCCCGGCCCGGCCCGACTTTTCTTGGCCCGATTTTTAGGCAATCCCGTGGAGGAAGCAGTTTATCATTGCAGTTTATCGGAAAGAGTTTATTATTGCAGTATAGAGGAAGTAGTTTATCATTGATGCGTAGAAGGGGTTTGTCATCACATTGTAGAGGAAGCGGTTTATCATGGGAGTGTCGAGGCGTTTACCTATGGGATGTTTTTTGGTGGGTATAGATGTACAAGAACGGGTCACCCAAACACGCCATATTTGTGGAAGCATGTTTTTTCCGGGGCAATTACATAAGGCCATGTCACGGCGATTGAAACACAGTTAATCTTCATAGTGTCGCGACACCTAGTCATGAAGAAGGCCTTTGTGAGTATAATTTTTGTTACTTTAAATGAGGATCAATATGTGGAATGGATACTCTATGTTTAAGTGTACATACGGTTTGTTTTGACAAATGTATTGTTTCGTTGTGGAAACTTGTTGCTCCTGCATGCACATGTGATTTTCAAATCATTCACATGTGCATCATAAACTGTCGTAAAGACGGACATAGCTCTGCACGTCGGGGTCGTGTGCCTAAAGGACATGTTGGCAATATTTTGATGGAAAAAAAATCAATCTTCTCTGGAACAATGCCGTGGTCACGATTTTATTTGACCCCGTGTCAAATAAGGCTGAGCTGACTGTACGATTTGATATTTTGTGTGAAACGTTGCTGTGTTCACTATTCCATTTAACCTTATGAGAAACAATGCTGTTGACTTTCATAAACATCAAAAGGGGTCGTATTCATTTTTTAATGACTGTGCTTAGTTCTGCTTTTGAGATGTGACATGTAGAAGAGTTTATCATTGTAGAGTAAGAAGTCCCCATTGCAGCGTTCGGAGGTCTGATAAAGTACCGCAAAATATACAGTTTATAGGGGCGTGAAACTCTCGTGATTCGTGAGACTTGTACAAATTAGCATGACGTATAATCCTTTGGCAACAAACATTATAATATCGTGCATTCGAATACTAGTATTTGCTTCGAATGAGGATGGTCGAGTACACAGTACATTTATATCCTTATAAAGTACTGTCACTCGTCCTTTATATATAACATAGCGACATATGCTAGTATGCTAAACACATTGAAGCACATATATGCTACTGTAGAACATATCGGTGGTTCAGCTGGCGTCTAAACATCCGGGCTGCACTATATGTAGGTCAGCTCGTACACATCCTTCTTTCTCTCCCTCTGCTCCGCTGGGTCAGCGAGAGGGCGTTCGGCGGGTCATCTAAAGTGCAGGGTCAATGTACAAGTCGCTGTTGCAGAACAAAAGCACGAGCCAAGTGATTGAATGAGAAGACAACTGTAATTTCCAGGACATTCATCTCCTCATTTCGTTTTGTTTTCGTCTGATGCTGTAGGTCTGTGAAATGTGTATGTGTAATGACGTACAGCAGGGCTATGGAGAGCAATCGAGTAATAATCAACCCGGGCAGCAAAAGAAACCAAATCTACGGAATCTTGTTGGAGTCAAAATCATTGTGTAAATGAACATGATCTAAAATAGCCATCTTTTTATTTTTGCAGGTTCTTAAAGAATTGTCAGTACGAGTATTGGATTGAGGATCGGTGTATAATCGCCCCTTTAATGTGGTTTTACGCCGCTTTAGGCCATATTCAGCAATATTACAGCGGGGAACATCAGTACTGGGCTTCACACTTTGTACCTATTTTGCGAATATAACCCGGACCTTCGTGTTAAAGGGAACTTTTGAACCCCTAGGCTGCTCCATATCATGCCAGTGATAGTGACACGTGCGGAGATGGATGACGTGCCACTGGTTGATGTACCAGCAACCACTAGAGGGACCAGAACAAACGTACGGAACCTCATTGTCGTCAACATCATCGTGGGTGTACTAACGTGTTCTACGAAGATATATGAACCTGTGGTAGGGCAGTACGTGTACCACAGAGTTGCTGACGATGTGTTTGGAAACGACAGTCGTATAAAGAACTACAGTGTTCTGGCCCCATGTTTCCAGAATACATCCGACCCTGGGTATGTTCTGGTGCAGACTCTCCAGGAACGGTCATCCTCCGTTATGTGGCATTTCTCTCTTGTTGGAGGGCTCATTGCAAGTGTAGTTAACATAGGTGTCGGATCTTATTCAGACGTCGTCGGCAGAAAGTTTATCTTCATAACATGCATGCTAGGCCAACTTTTGAGGAATGCCATAACATCTGTGATAATCGGGCTTCATCTCAGCATAGACTACTTCTACATTGTGTCAAGTGTTGACGGGTTGTTCGGGGGTTCGTGGGGCTTGCTGCTGCTAGCATATGCCTACATCGCTGACAACACCCCTCCACTACGAATTCGGTCTTTTGGAATATTACTCCTAGAGTGCATGAATGCTTTAGCTGAAGCAGCAGCATCCACCGCAGCAGGATATTTTATCGTACGTTCAGGATTCTTCTATCCTTCACTCTTAGCATGTTGTGTGACGGTCTTTGGGATATTTTTAGTGGCAGTATGTTTAACAGAAACTGTGGTGAATACAAATAGCAACCAGAGCAGGTGTTCGTACATCTTCAACGTGTATTACCTGTTCATAAAGGAAGGACGTCGACGTCAACGCCTCCTGCTGTGGGTCGGCTTGGGCGCCTTTTTCTTCTCGGTCATCAGCACATCCTCAGAGATCAACGTGGACCTCTTGTTTCTGATGAACCAGCCTTTCTGTTGGAGCCCGTTCCAGAACGGCATATACGATACAGTGAGCACTGTGGTTCGGCGTACTGTAGGGGCAGGTGTGGTGAAAGGCCTGCAGAGGTGTATATCCGATGAAGTGTTGGGAGTGTTGGGGTCTGTGTTTGTCATACTCGGGGACGTCGTCTTCAGTATAGCAACTTCAGGCTGGATGTTGTACCTCGCATGTAAGTTTTCATTAATTAACTATATTGAAAAGAAAATACCAAATGAATGTTTCAAAGTTCTTCACGAAAGATCAGACTATGTCAGAATTCATCAATTTTACATGAATTATTTTTCATTTTATATATTACTCAAACAGCGACATGTAGTTCTTACAGTGTTACTTATTTCAGCATTTACCGACCAGGGTGCCGTTGTACAAAGCGATCTTAGCGCTAAGGTGATCGTAACTCCCATACCTTAACATGGACCTACGACCGTCGTAGCGCTAAGGTTGCAACAACACCCTGGTTACGATCACGTTGAAACAGATATCACGTGGTTTCATTTGCCATAAATGTGTACAAGATGTACATTTTGTTATATCAGATCAATTTCGATAAACCTGAACATTTATTTATAGACCTACAGTTTTCAAATGACGTGTTTTTGTTCCAGTTCCAGGGATAGGTCTCATTGGTTTCCTGGTGACGCCTATTGCTCGCGGCATTATGTCCAAGTTAGTTCCACCTCAAAGGCATGGTAGGTATTTGGTCGTCTGTCTGTGTCATCTGTATATCTATTGTTCAATTGTTCTGGACTCTTATCGAACTTGTTATCACCCCGCATATCCATCCACCACATCTAAGTGCATTTCAATATGAGTGTGTAAACGAGCCTTTCCGGCAACAACACGCGAGGTGTTTCATTATGCGTGTGAAACTGAGATTGAGACGAGCCGTTTAAAACCTAACGAGGTACGCAGAAAACCACATGTACCCCGAGTGATATTGCTACAACGAATTTATCTTACCGTCATGTTTTAATCTGCCGTTGTAAAAGAATTAAAAGAAACTCAAAATTGTAGAAAACTTTCTGTTCGTGTGAGATGGGGTTAACTTGTGCTATGTTACATAACTTCATTGACTCGGAAAAAAACGTGCGACTTTTTGCTTCGAAGCGGGGTATAAGGGATTGTTTCTCCCGCTCAGGAATCCACGTGCAGCTTGTTGGCGGGTCATATGGGATTTATTCTCCCGCTCAGAAATCCATTTCTCTCCAAGGCGGGATAGATAAATAAATAGTATTTTATCAAGATCACGTGAACCAAACAGATCTCATCAGTATGACATGTAGGTATGATAAAGAACGTTATACATGCAACATAAATCAATATTGTTATTGTCAAAGTATGATTACCGACAGTGATTACATACAGGGAGAGTACAGTGTCAGTATCCGTAGGAATCTATTTTATATAATCTATTTTTATATTACCATTCCCATGTCCCAATGTCACGTTTCATCCCAAACTGGCTTCAACTGGAGTTAGATCATGATGTTGCTCTTGGACGATATAGTTTGAATGAACTTGCATGGCAATACTTTGCAGAACATTATGAAGCCATCGGTTTCTGTGACGTCACACACAAATGACATCCCAAATCTCTGCCATTAAAGCCCATTTTTAAACTCAAGACGCTCCGTGCGTTCGAGTAATAGAATTAGAGTGAACTGAGTCAATCTGAGTTACCACATTTATGGCAACTAGGGTTGACTAGATTCAACCTTAGTTGACCAAAATTAATCAAGGGTAACTTAGGAGATTACCCAAAAAAAAGGTTTTAACGCATAAAGTGCAACCTTGGTTATGATAATGTCCGCCTGGAGATGTATGCACACTACAATGCACAACTATGAGAGGTTAACAAGCGTTCTATGCTTGACAGAACTGCCTCTGTAACTTTTTTTAAAGCGTGTAAAAGGTCAAAAAGATGCAAAATAACGCGCAGAACATCAAACAAGATGCAACATAATAATCAAAGTTGCATTATTGATTTTCCGTAACAGCATATCAAAATATACATATGTTATCAGTACCTGGTTAATTGTATTGATTAAAATGTTTATATTCATGACTGAATCAATAAACAAATTAGCTTTAACGATGACATCACTAGGTTATTACCAAGCAGAATACCGCACACCAGAGGTTCAGTGGGTATAGGCAATTTAGGTCACTCGAAGTATACCGAATATCAGTGAACATGACCTAACATTGGTCAACCAATGTTAACTTCGGTTCACCTGAGACATACAGGGTTTTGAAATCGAATGCAAGCACTGTTTTTTGGCTGTTCGTAAACTGATATATATGGAAGAATACCTTTGGACGATAAATAGACTCTCACCCTTGTGTTTCATACATGTAGTCATACATATTTCCCACTGCAGGTGCTGTATTTGCGAGTCTGGCGGTGGTGGAGTCACTCAGCAGTGCGTTAGGTGCTGTTACCTTCAATAACATCTACACGGCTTCTGTGGCTGTCTGGGGTGGAGCGGTATATGCTGCAATGGCAGCATCCCACTTCTTAGCTCTGTGGTTCTTTCTGTAAGTGCTGTAATATTTCAGACAGGAATGTTTCGCAGTGAAATCCACAATTCATAAAGAATCCTTTGCACATTTCAAATTTTCTAAATAACCGCATACAAAACTAGACTATATTACACAAACCGACATGCTACGCTAATTCATCATCAAATACTGGTATACAAAATAGTCCAAGTTATTCAAGGAAGTACCTAATCAAACGATTACAGTGCCACTAATCCTGCCTTTTCAGTCGGAAATTCAGAACAGTTGTGAAATGTTTTTCTTTTTCTTGCAGTGCATTCAGGTTGCTGAACAAGGACGGTGTTCCATTTGAGACAACATGAATAGCAAATGACAAGGGTTGCCACCATAAGCGTCAGTCGTGTCACATGTTGAATACTTTCGTATACCGGCGTGTAACTCGGCTGCACACACTTGTATCATCATGCTGTCATTTTCTGTAACTTCTTGTAGATTTTCTGATAGCAGATTGAATATATGTTCTCATTTGATATATGAATCACTACAGAAAGCTTTGCTTTGCCAATTGGGTGAAAGACATGCAGTGTTTCAATGTAGATCTATGTCAATAAGGATTAACCGCGCTAAGCTGAATTTGGACCCGAACGCGCAGTTAATGTTTAATTTAGCGAGTTTAAAACCAACAGGTAATCTAGCTCTACATTGAAAACACAGTAGGTTTATCACCATTCCACCATGACAAAATTTAACGCAGATTCTTGGATGTTAACCGCTTGAGTTAAATTTTCACACATTTTATTTATGACAAAATACCGTTCATTGTGATCGATGCAGAAAATATATCACATTTGTCTATAGAAAAGCGCCACATTTCAAACTCGCTGTAGTCTTTATATATACCTAAATCTTTATACACACTTACTGCCCAAAATGTATAATAATAATCATCGTAACTCTTCATCTGTAACTTATAATTGTACATTTCATAATTTAAAAATGTCTACCGGGAATAACCGAAAGAGAAGACCTTTTCTATATATATATATTCGGGTGTCATTGTGATTTGATATCTATGATACATCGAGTAACTTCCAAATCAAATGTATATATGGTATGGAATAAAAATATACAATGCAATATTACAATGTGTCAATTTCTTATTATTTAATTAAAACAACATATCACATTCGGGGCCAAGTATAACGAACAAACCATTGTACAGGTTTAAATTGCCCCGAGGATGTAACTTACGTGTAGGTATATAAACTTTACTTCTCATGAAATGTAAAGTTAAACATCTGTAGTCATGTGATTGGCTGAACAACTGTAACTTTATCATGCGCGACGAAACCTGATGGACATGTTACAACAGACATGTTGTTCCGCCATTATCCAAGTTTGTTTATAAATAGCATACAGCTTAAATACGCGGCAGAGAAACGCTTAGTCACCCGGTTGTATAATTCACAGCTATTTCCGTGTCGTTACCCACCACTAAACACACACAAACACACATGTATTGACGCAAGTATGATTCGAAAGTTGATTCATAGGAGACGAGTTGCGTTAAAATCTAGTTGGTAATATAACAACTTCTCTATACATAAACATTGCCGTCTTGAGCCGTGATGCCTCGATCCCAACTGAAATCACTTTATTGAGGTCAAATCATTGAGGTCCCATTGGGTGAACGATCAGTGTATAAGCCCGCGACTCGTGGATGGATCAATACAACCACCGAGGCTTGGACACTATAAGCTCTGACTGACAAGCAACCAGGATATTTTGAAAAGACATCAAGCGGGACACCGCTTGACCTGGACTCCCAGGCAGGAGGGACAGGTGAACAGTGATAAGACAGGCGTGTATTTAGCCCAGGTATGGTTGTATTTATAGCGACAGTCATGTGAGTGTGTTATTTTGTATTCATTAACTAAAGCCTGTCAGTGTCAGCATGGAGGACGAACCGCTACTACCGTCCCATGACGGGAAAAGCCGTAGCGGAGAGAAATCCATCGTCAAGAATCTCCTTTTTCTTAATTTTGTGATGTTCATATTAACGCTTTCAGGCAGCCTATTTATGCCTGTGATGAGTCAGTATTTATACCATCGTGTATCAGAGGATGTATTCAACCACACTCTTGTCAACATGACCACAACACAACCCTGTTACCGGAACACCTCGAGCCCCGATTACATGCTGCAGGAGAAGGCTCAGCAGCTCACTGCTGAAAAACAAATGCAATTCACGATGTTGAGAAGCGCCCTGGCTATCCTCAGTAACATCATGCTGGGTGCTTATTCCGATTCTATTGGTCGAAAGTTCCTGTTTGTTACGCCACTGACAGGGCAACTGATAAGAAGCGCCTTCACAACAGTTATCATTGGATGTAGGCTGGACTTGAACTTGTTCTTCCTGTCTGAAGGCATAGATGGTCTCCTGGGAAGTTATTACGGCATCCTACTCGCGTGCTATACATACACCGCCGATAACACGCCGGCTACAGGTTCCCGTACCATCGGCATCGCTGTCGTCGACCTCACCGAGTTCCTCGCCACCTCTCTCATCTCCATAGCCAGCGGATACTTCATCCAGGATGTGAACTTCTTCTACCCAGCTCTCACTGCCACGCTGGTGTGTATGGTGGCCCTCATTATAGTCACACTATTCCTTCCGACAAGCACATATCATGTTAGAGATAGAGGCTCGACATGGATGAATCCAGTGGAAGGTCTGAAAAGAGTGTTTGGGTTTTATGTTTTCGACAACAGCACCTTAAAGAAAGCGTGTTTCATCCTTATTTTGCTTTCCTTTGTGTTTAATGTCATCAGTTCTGTTGGAGGCTCCAACATCGACACTTTGTTTCTCCTGAATGCACCATTTTGCTGGACTCCAGAAAAACTTGCATATTACGTCACAGCCTTCACTGTGTTATGTCCGCTGATAGGAGTGCCCTTAACCAGGCTGTTTCAAGTGTGCCTGATTGACGAGATCATTGCCGTGATTGCAACATCTGCAGCCGTCGCAAGCGATGTCATACACTCATTTGCGTCGACGGACACCATGATGTATATAGGTGAGTGTCGATTTAATCACGGTTATGCTATTAGAAGTGTTCTTATAATGATAATGACTATTATGCCGTATTTTTGACGTCCACCGACGTGATATTGCTGGAATATGTTTTAAAACCTCACTCACTCACTATCAGTGCACGAGTGAGTTAAGAAAAACGCTGATTCTTTAGGGTTAGTTCAGTTGTAGCCCTACACCAAGAATCAAAATCAAGGCTAATCTAAGATTCGAACCCATGACCAACCAGCCTGGGATCTACGGCACTAACGTTTGCAGCAGAGGTGCCATCAGTGGTCATGCAATGTTATACGCAGAATATGATTTACACAGCAATGTAAGATGTCCAGTGTGTCTAAGGATGCAAGAGGGTGGGAATGACGTGCATGTGTGATAAATATTATAACACTGACTATATACGATGCATACACTTGTTGTAGTCGTCGGGGTGACGTCAATCGGCAGCACATTATCAGGGATCACCCGAGCCATCATGTCCCGCATGGCGCCACCCAACAGACAAGGTAAGATACACAATGAGACCGACACTACTGAAACAGGTCACTGTTCGCCAGTATAGCTGTACTATTGTAACAGGTCACTTTTCGCCAGTATAGCTGTACTATTGTAACAGGTCACTTTTCGCCAGTATAGCTGTACTATTGTAACAGGTCACTTTTCGCCAGTATAGCTGTACTATGTAACAGGTCACTGTTCGCCAGTAGAGCTGTACTATTGTAACAGGTCACTTTTCGCCAGTATAGCTGTACTATTGTAACAGGTCACTTTTCGCCAGTATAGCTGTACTATTGTAACAGGTCACTGTTCGCCAGTAGAGCTGTACTATTGTAACAGGTCACTTTTCGCCAGTATAGCTGTACTATTGTAACAGGTCACTTTTCGCCAGTATAGCTGTACTATTGTAACAGGTCACTTTTCGCCAGTATAGCTGTACTATTGTAACAGGTCACTGTTCGCCAGTAGAGCTGTACTATTGTAACAGGTCACTGTTCGCCAGCTGTACTATTGTAACATGCCACTGTTCGCCGGCTGTACTATAGTTACATGCCACTGTTCGTCAGTATAGCTGTACTGTTGTAACAGGTCACTGTTCGTCAGTATAGATGTACTGTTGTAACATGCCACTGTTCGTCAGTATAGCTGTACTATTGTAACAGGTCACTGTTCGCCAGTATAGCTGTACTATTGTGACATGTTCCCTGTTCGCCAGCTGTACTACTGTTACATGCCACTGTTCGCCAGCTGTACTATTGTAACAGGTCACTGTTTGCCAGAATAGCTGTACTATTGTTACATGTTCCCTGTTCGCCTGTAGAGCTGTACTATTGTAACAGGTCACTGTTCGCCAGCTGTACTATTGTAACATGCCACTGTTCGCCAGTATAGCTGTACTATTGTAACAGGGCACTGTTCGCCAGTATAGCTGTACTATTGTTACATGTCACTGTTCACCAGTATAGCTGTACTATTGTAACAGGCCACTGTTCGCCAGTATAGCTGTACTATTGTAACAGGGCACTGTTCACCAGTATAGCTGTACTATTGTTACATGTCACTGTTCGCCAGTATAGCGGTACTATTGTAACAGGCCACTGTTCGTCAGTATAGCTGTGCCATTGTTGCATGTCCCCTGTCAGCCAGTATAGCTGTGTTTTTGTTTCATGTTCTTAGTTTGTCAATATTGCTCTACTATTGCTACAAGTTCCCTGTTCGCCAGTATAGCTGCATTATTGTTCCAGGGTCACTGTTCGCCAGTATACCTGTACTATTGTTACATGTCACTGTTTGCCAGTATAGCTGTTTTATTGTTACATGTCACTGTTCGCCAGTACAGCTGTACTATTGTTCCAGGGTCACTGTTCGCCAGTATAGCTGTACTATTGTTACATGTCACTGTTTGCCAGTATAGCTATACTATTGTTCCAGGGTCTCTGTTCGTCAGTATAGATGTACTATTGTTACATGTCACTGTTCGCCAGTATAGCTGTACTATTGTTCCAGAGTCACTGTTCGCCAGTATAGCTGTACTATTGTTCCAGGGTCACTGTTTGCCAGTATAGCTATACTATTGTTCCAGGGTCACTGTTTGCCAGTATAGCTGTTTTATTGTTACATGTCACTGTTTGCCAGTATAGCTATACTATTGTTCCAGGGTCACTGTTTGCCAGTATAGCTGTTTTATTGTTACATGTCACTGTTTGCCTGTATAGCTGTACTATTGTTCCAGGGTCACTGTTCGCCAGTATACCTGTACTATTGTTCCAGGGTCACTGTTCGCCAGTATAGCTGTACTATTGTTCCAGGGTCACTGTTCGCCAGTATACCTGTACTATTGTTCCAGGGTCACTGTTCGCCAGTATACCTGTACTATTGTTCCAGGGTCACTGTTCGCCAGTATACCTGTACTATTGTTCCAGGGTCACTGTTCGCCTGTATAGCTGTACTTTTGTTCCAGGGTCACTGTTCGCCTGTATAGCTGTACTATTGTTCCAGGGTCACTGTTTGCCAGTATACCTGTACTATTGTTCCAGGGTCACTGTTCGCCTGTATAGTTGTACTATTGTTCCAGGGTCACTGTTCGCCTGTATACCTGTACTATTGTTCCAGGGTCACTGTTCGCCAGTATAGCTGTACTATTGTTCCAGGGTCACTGTTCGCCAGTATACCTGTACTATTGTTCCAGGGTCACTGTTCGCCAGTATACCTGTACTATTGTTCCAGGGTCACTGTTTGCCTGTATACCTGTACTATTGTTCCAGGGTCACTGTTCGCCAGTATCGCGGTGGTGGAGACGATCTGCTCCCTGGTTGGCTCTCCCTTGTTCAGCAGGGTCTACCAAGGCACGGTTGTCATATGGCGAGGCCTGGTCTTCATCGTCATGGCCGGAATGCATGTTGTCGCTGCCGTCATTCTCCTGTAAGTATCTCAAAATGTCAGCTACTTACGAACAAAGTAAAACTAAATTATATAATGTGCAAGTGAATATCGATAAACGCCACACCAGCAACATTACAGCTACACTCGCGGAAACTTGACACATGTAACAATGTAAAGAGATTATTACAGCTACACTCGCGGAAACTTGACACATGTCACAATGTAAAGAGATTATTACAGCTACACTCGCGGAAACTTGACATATGTCATCATGTGAAGAGATTATTACAGCTACACTCGCGGAAACTTGACATATGTCATAATGTTAAGAGATTATTACAGCTACACTCGCGGAAACTTGGCATATGTCATAATGTAAAGAGATTATTACAGCTACACCCGCGGAAACCTGACACATGTCACAATGTAAAGAGATTATTACAGCTACACTCGCGGAAACTTGACATATGTCATCATGTAAAGAGATTATTACAGCTACACTCGCGGAAACTTGACATATGTCATCATGTAAAGAGATTATTACAGCTACACTCGCGGAAACTTGACATATGTCATCATGTAAAGAGATTATTACAGCTACACTCGCGGAAACTTGACATATGTCATAATGTAAAGAGATTATTACAGCTACACTCGCGGAAACTTGACATATGTCATAATGTATTTAGATATGTGTACAATAAAGTACGATGACTTTCAAAACAAAACAATCAGCATCAATTTGAAATGTTGCCCACATATACAAATGTGAACTTTCAAAGGAATCAAGCAAAAATTATCATATTACGAAATGATAAGATATAATAAAATGTAACAAATGCCAATATCTCTCCCAGGGTATTCATCTTTGTATCTCGGCCAGTGAGGGAAGAACAAAAGAGGATCAGGGCATTGAATGTTCAGGAGACGGAGGAGGACACGAGGAGCTAGTCCAACAGGTCATCCAGAGCTGGAAGAGATCGGAAATTCTGACAAATTATGAGGCACGCGTGACTCGTAAGAGGCACCGCATTTCGCTGTTCAGAGTTGTGTTCTTTAGGCTTGCCAGAACCCTATGATCATGGGTTCGAATCTCAGATACGCCCTAATTATGTTTATGGTTCGTCAGCATCATACCCGTGCTTGTGAATTTCAAATAAGTGGTAGACATCTTAGATCTGCGTGGATTTTCCTCCCACCTAAAGCTGACACCCTGTTATATATACAATCGGACCTCGCTTGTCCGGACACTTGCGTTTTTTCAAATAATGTCCGGATTATACGAGTTTCGATTGCCATATCATAGTCAAACCACAACAAATATCACTATGAACGTTCAGAATTTGGCATTTATTACATATGTATCTATTTTCTGACGTTGTTTCAAGGCGTGAATAACGGTAGTCTGACCACGGTTCTATCAATATTGGTGCGATCTGCCAATCAGTTCACACACGATTTGTCCGAAAGTAATACAATCAATATTGAATGAAAGATATACATATCCAGGTATGACACGAAGACTTTTTGTAACCAGATGGTGTAATAACAGGATGAAATCAACACTGTGATCACACATGACACCCGCCCCTTTGATGTCGGAGGCCGGGTGGTGAATTGCAAAACAAACATAATCAAGAGTGGTCAGGGGCGGTTAAGTAGCTTAGTGGTCAAAGCGTTGGCTCGTCACGACGAAGGCCTGGGTTTTATTCCCTACGTGGGTACAATGATTTAACCTCATTTCTGGTGTCCCCCGCCGTGATATTGCTGGAATATTGCTAACAGCGGCGTAAATCCACACTCACCCAAGAGTGGTCGCTGTCCGGTAAGTGGGACACAATGGTGTGTATTTTCACTGTTAGCAATTGTGACCCACGAGGAGAAAAAGGACCTCAAGGGTGCTAGGATTAAATTTTGCTATGACGTCATAAAGACGTTTGACGTCAACTTACTTCAGTGAAGATCGATATGTGTAATGTTTCCCCTTCATAAATATGAATTGGAGCTTGTGAATTGTATTTTTGTGTTCCGAAGGTGCTGTAGTTTTAAAATAAAATAAAAAGTCAAAATGTGATTTTTCACCCATAAGGTCCCTTATCTCATGGTTGGTCACAACTGCATATCACTTTCCGGGTAAATGAAGCATTTTATGTAGTATAGATCGTTTCACGTAAATACCGTCTCCGGACATGTGTGGTCCGGATAAGTGGGACTTCACTGTAATTGGTACATAATGTTCAAAGCGGTGTTCAATCAAACGCACTCATTCACTGCATAAAAGTTGTACCAGAATCATTGTCTCTTTCAAGTTGAACGCTTTCATCAATTTATAATATGAGGTGTTCAATAAAATAAATTCACAAATTTTAACTCAAAATGCAAACTTTTGAGTGAGTGGGATAAAATTTAACATCGCATTTTATACAAATGTTCACAGTATTCAGGTGAAGTTATTTTCCTCTGTGATATACATGGATGCATGGAAACATTACGAAGGGCTTTCATTAGGTCAAGAGATGGTTTTTACTTGATCATTCTTATTATTTTCACGTACAAATGATTGTATTCAGAGCACTAAAATAAAGACACTTTTATTACGGGAAGCCTTATTTGTGTTAAGAAAAAGGAAATTGCAAGTGAAAATCACAAACAATTGACAAGGACATGACGTTATAGGTTTATTGTTTTAAGGTCGAATCTGGTTTGTTTGAACAGCGAATATGCTAATAACACAAGTTCCCGTCTTCCTCATGAAGTATGTCTAGTACTAATTATATTTGTTGAAAGGTAACAGATTTTTCATTTTGTTATTTATTGTAAAATGGATATGTATTGTATGTGGGAGAGTAAGGACTATTAAATACGTGACAATTGAACAAAGAAGCTGCATGCTTCTTTCTCATAGCAGGTTTTTTATTCCTGATTCCGCTGTTCAGGGTTGAATCCTTCCTCCATGCAAGAATCCTATGTTCATGCGTTCGAGTCCCACTTCGCCTTGATTATGTTTCTTAAAAAGGTTGGTTTTTATCTACCTCATGGGTTTCAGCAATGTGTTACACGTTCAAACCTGCATCTCACCGAGCTTTCCATCCACATCAAGCTGACACGCCCAGACCAAGCTCAACGTGAATGTCCTTGGTGACTTGTTAATTTCGGTGGCACACATATCACCAAGTAGATACCACGCATTCATCTGGATGTGTCACAGATTCAGTACAAACCCATACACTTACCCAACTCAACATTACAACTCTTCAAATTCCTGTTGGGTGTAGCCTTTATACAGCATGTGGTGTAAATACGATATGCGGAAGGAACGCAGGACTGAAATAGGAAAATATAACAGGAAATATATCATTAAACAGCTGGTTTTATACGATACTGTCTTTTCCTCGACCTAGCTGTGCGGTCATTAGAAAGCTATCAAGATAATGAATCACACACAATCCTCGTTACGGCTTGAGTGTTTTCCTCAAAGAGGTCACATGCTATAACTATCACAAAGGATCGTTTACATGTGTCTGAGGGTTCACAATTTGGCCTCTATATCTAATGGGTTATCTTCAGCCATGGCAGTGCAAGGCTGAAAGCTAATCAAGTTATGTTATTCAGGAATGTCAACGTGATGTAATATCATGTGACGAAATTGATGTTGATGTCACAGGTAGTGTAGCGAGTACTTCACAACACACAACATGGAAACAGAACCGCTCCTGCAAAAGGTGGAGGACACTCCTGAATCTGGAGTAAAGAAATCTCAGATCAAGAATCTCTTGTTTGGCAATATGATAATATTTATAGTTGTAATGGGGGCGATGTTGTTCTCGCCAGTGATGAGCCAATATCTCTACAAACGGGTGACGGAGGACGTGTTCAGTAGCCACACGGTGGTGGGGAAAGGCCCGATGAATCACACATGTTACCTGAACACATCCAACCCAGATTACATCCTTCAGGAGAAGGCACAGCAGATCGCCGCAGCCAAACAAATGCAGTTTACAATTCTGAAAAGCAGTCTAGCCGTCATCACCAACATCATTCTTGGTTCCTATTCGGACTCTATTGGTCGCAAGTTCCTCTTTGCTGCACCTCTGACTGGCCAGTGTCTAAGATTTGGAATAACAGCAGTCATTATCTACTGGAAGTTGGATATCAACTGGTTTTTTATGTCAGCAGGGATAGACGGCCTAACAGGGGGCAACTATGCTTTGCTACTTGCATCGTACGCCTATGCTGCTGACAATACGCCGGCGACAGGTGCTCGAACCATGGGCATAGCCTTCGTGGAGTTCTTTGAGAACATAGGATCTGCTGCCTCATCAACAGCAGCTGGCTACTTCATCCAAGACGTGAACTTCTTCTACCCGGCACTAACTGCCACACTCATCGTTCTCGTGGACGTTATCCTGGTGGTGACACTGCTGCCCAAGACAAAGGGGATTAAAAGACCGAAGAGCAACTGGATTACACCTCTAGAGGGATGTCGACGAGTGTTTGGATTTTATGTTTCTGAGGGCAGTAAACGGAAACGAATATGCTTTGTTTTAGCTATCTTGATATTCGTTTTCACTGCCTTGCCAGTCGTAGGGGCGTCTAATATTGACACACTATTCAAACTGAACCTTCCGTTTTGCTGGACCCCTGAGAAAATAGGTTATTATAGTTCAATAAGCTCTGTGGCACAACAGGTGATCGGTGTCCCGTTGACGCGACTGTTACAGTGTTGCTGTATCGATGAGGTGATAGGAGTGATTGGTTTACTGGCAATAGGTGCGGCAGACAGCCTACAGTCTATTGCAAGCACAGACTGGATGATGTACGGAGGTAATAGATAGTGAATATGATCGACCATTTTATCTTTCCGGGCACCAATGATTATGACAAAATGTACACTGGTTTCCCTCTTGGTGCATTCATACTTAATGAATTATGGATGTTATTTTCAATCACATCTGCTGAAAATGCTGAAAAGATTCATTGAACCAAGACCATGGTTCATTATTTGTGAAAATATTCATTACAGATCATACTTATCCTTAAACAATTAACATACTAACTTGACTATGATGCATGTTAAAAAGGTTCTTTAAAGTTACATGTGATTTATAACACCGTTAGTATTATTGTTCTTCTAGTTGCGGGCATCAAGATCCCTGCTGCCACGATGTTCCCAATTGCTCGCTCCATCTTGTCCCGGTTGGCTCCAGCAAACAAACAAGGTCAGAATGTGTGTATGGAGGATGTACTGAATATATCATATACCATGTCAAATGAAGCACCTTCTATGAAACAAAAACCCGATGGCCTCTATCCAAAATGCACGTCGTGATATAACTGGAATACTGTTAAAAGCGGCGTTAAACCCAACTCACTCACTCACTAGGTAAATTGCTTCCTTGTAGGCAAGCATGAATATTGTACTGTTCATATATCACACGTACAGCATAAACAAATGGCAGTTATGCTCGTGGGGACACGGATGGCACTTTTGTTGCTTTGTCTTGTGTAAAGGGGCTGCTGGAAGACTCGGTGTCTTAGGTGATTGCATATTGTCATACCCGACAGATGCTTATTCCAACAGTCACGTGTTTGCTTTACCAACGCCCAATTATTTAAAGACACACTGGTATTAATGGAATATTGCTGACTTAAACATATTTTTAAAGATACACATCTCTGTACACAGTTGTGCTCTTATTGCAGGTTCCTTATTCGCCAGTATAGCAGTGGTAGAGACGATATGCTCGCTGGTGGGGACTCCGATCTACAGCAACATCTACCAGGACACGGTGGTGGTGTGGAAAGGGTTGGTCTTCATCTTCTTGGGAGGCACGCATGTAGTCGGTGCCATTGTTCTCGCGTGAGTAGTTAATGCACTTCTTTGTCCATATTCAAAATCCATGACCGTTTTATATAAATGTTATCTTGTTCAGTTTGTCAGCTTATGATTGATCGAGAAGGATTTGTACGCAGTTTTAAAAATTTCAAATTTGTGGAAATTCCAGGTTAGAATAGATGGCCAGAAAACTATGCTGGTCGTAAGAGGCAACCAAATGTATCGGGTTGTCCAGCTCGGTGATGTGGTTGAGTGTGTGACATCGAACCAAGACGGTGTGGAGAGTTGCTCACCATACCAATCACTTGATTGTCTTGTCCAGACTTTATTGGCCGCCGTCAAACAGCTGGAATATTGCTAAATGTGGCGTTAAACGACAAACAATATTCCGGTCACATCAGCCAAAGCTTTTACCACTAGGCTTCTCAATCTCTCAATTCAGCAGATGAACGATAAATACTGGTACTACTTCTGTCTTAATCAACCCGTAGCCTTGTCTACAAACGGAAAAACAACCGTTTGAAATAATATGTGTACTTTTCTCGGGCGTACTTTTTTCATGACGCTGGTAGCACTTGGCTACTGAACACATATTTTATGGGTGTACTTCTAGTTATAAATGTTTAAGTGCATAGATTAAAATCATAAATAATCACAACTCGGTCGTCTCCTTGCTATGAATCTTGAATGTACATGTAGGCCCCTTCCACCCATTGATTGTGAACTTGTACTAGGAAGTCAACAACTGGATTGAAAAACGCAAGGTCCATTCCAGGCGTGTTTCATTCTTCATAACGTTTTATCACATTAAGCATTTATTGATTTAGGGTATAACCCATAATTTCAGATCAACTATTCGGATCAAGTGTTATCACCGATATCTGTTTCAAGTGAGTAATCCCCCAAAAGAATGCAAATGTCACGCCTATTCTTTGTTTCAGAATCTATATATTCGTGTCAAAACCGATCAGACAGACGCGCGATGTTCAGCAGGTTCAACCAGGTGTTCCAAACGTTCAGCGCGGGGCTACAGTGTACCAGACAGAAGTAACCGAGGATCCAACAATGCACGTGCATGGGCGGTCGGTGGCAGGCCAGGAGGTGACAGAGGTCACCCAGGCCAGCATACACGTGCATGTTCAGTCAGCGTATGGCGAAGAGGATGGACACTATATTAAAACAGAGGGGTAGTTGATTTTCATGACGCTGGTAATGGATATATATACATCCCAAAGTGTGTTCATGGTATGTTTGTCAAGCATTCTGTGTATGAGCTATCTATTAATGCTCACATTTTAACGTTTTGATGAATTAACTTTTCAAGAAACTCAGTTCCTCAACACTCATTGATTGTGGTCAGATGAAATTAACATGGTGTACATTTGCAATTTGGGGTTACTGTTGAGCATAATTTGTACAAATTCATTCCAATACAGACAACCTTCTAGTTTTATGGAGACCAACTTCACAATGTCTTAGTCAAAATCTCTTTGGTAAGACCTGAATGCAGAAATATTTACCTCATTCTTTAGCAATCCTGACTTTATAAGACAATCTGCTATTTGATTACCCTGCAAACCGATATGAACCGGAATCCAAACAATAGCACATGAGATTTATTATGTATTCAAAAAAAGTGCCAAGTTTCAAAATTATGTATACAATATAATTTCAGGATTTTAACTCCACAATCAAAAGCCTTAATGGCAGTCAATGATCACTAAATATGATTGATTCGTGGTTATATTTATCCACCCTATGTCAATGCTTGTAGATTTGCTATAAATTATGTTCCGATCTAGGTTGATGAGGTGACCTTCGGGAGCAGAGATGAAGACTTTCAATATTTTTAAAAAGCTGACAAAAGCTCCATGACATTCTGGGGTATTACTATGGTGCATGGCTAGTCGTGGCGTCAGCCAAGTATCGCCTGTCTCCTGTCCAAAAATTTCACTTCAAACTCAAGTTCCTCTTATCTGGGTAATGCAGCACATGCATCGCTCAGCAAACTGTTGTGGTTGTGTTTAGGCGATTGTTTCTCAACCATTTTGTAACACTATTCAGGGTCCAACATTCAGTTAGGTTATGCTACTTATATCCTTAAACCACAGCCTTTGTAATAGAAAAGTACATTCCTCCAGTTGATGTGAGTACAAACATGTCAATTTGAAAGGGTTTTGCTACACATGGTGTTGTAAAACATTGGTCTTTTATTTATTATTTTATAAATGCTTTATCATACTGCTATTTCCATTGTTCTGTTTCAAAGTCACCCACATGTGCATCTGTACAGTTATTATGTTTTTGTGAACAGTGAGAAACTTTAACATTCTTTCCATCAGTCAAATTAAAAATGTACCGTCGAAAAAATCTCAATCTGTAAAAAAACAAAACACAAAAAACATGACTATACCCAAACGCCATATCGTGTATAATCTTCATGGTAACGTCAAGGCAACATCATCAATATAAAAATGAAAGATTGTATTTAAGATATAGACCAAAACTGCCATTTCTACAATATCCATTACTTCCACACAACCTTACCAGATACCCTAGCAACATGTCCAAAACATTAGATCACTTACCATAACTTTCCAGTTTCTTATCAACATTAAAATTCCTCTCTAACAGTGTTTACATTCGTTATCTCTTACAGTAACTAGAGTCATCTCCCTTAGACTTAGGTGCCTGTCGCTGACACAAGAACACTTTTACAATGGACTCGGCTTTCACATATTTCTTAGGGTTTGTTGGTTTTATTTATCCTGATAAATATCTGTATTGCCATTTTCGTGATTAATTCAGTCTGAAAGAAATCTTTGAGAGAACAAAACTACCTCAATACAGTAATACAAGAAAATCAGAGCGGTGTGGAACATCATTATATTTTGTACATTGCTATATTTATTTCGCAATGTCTACACTCATTTGCATAATTACGCATTTATATAAGTTATATAATGCATATAACCTTCACCTCAGACGTTGTGTATTGGACATGACCTTCACGTCATAAATAGGTTATAATCGACATAACCTTCACGTCACATGTTGTATATTGAATACAACCTTCACGTCACTTAAGGTATAATTGATTTTACCTTCACGCCACAAATATATTATAATGGACAAAACCTTCACTTCACCAAAGGTATAATAGACATAACCTTCCCGTCGGTATTTGTATATTGCATATTAACCTCCACGTATGTATGATGGATATAACCTTGACGTCACAAATTGTATAACTGATATATACTTTACGTCAGACATGGCATAATTGATCTAACAATGACGTCGCAAATGGTATAGGAACCCAAAAAAAGCACCCCCACCCCGCCCCCCACGTCACAAATGGTTTATTCGATATAACCTTCATGTCACAAATAACCTTAACGTCATATATTGTATAATGGATATATCCGTTACATCAGCAACATACCCCTGCTTGTGAGTTCCACAAGAGTGGCAAACTACTAATACATGCATGGGTTTTCCTCCCACATCCACCCGACACGCTGTGCTGTACAGTGGAACCTCGCTTATCCGCACGCTTGCATTTTTCAAATATTGCCAGATAAACGACTTTCGAAACGTCTAAACGTCTTGTTGCAGTATAATAATCAAACTACAACAAAACTACAAAATATGCCATATGCCATTTATTATATATGTGTCCAATCTCGGTCAAGTGATGTTCGTTTCAAGGCGTCAATTGTGGTCATCTGGTCGTGGTTGCTGTAAAGTGGTTGTTGTGCGATCTGCCAACCTGGACACATACGATTTCGCCGAAATTAATGTAAACAATATTGAATGAAAGAAACACTTATCCAGGTATACAATGAACACGTTTTCTTATAACCAGATTGTGTAATAACAGGATTAAATAAACACTGTGATCACATATGATACCTGCCCCTTGGATTTAGGAAGCCGGATGATGAATTACAAAACAAACATCGTCATGCATGGTCGCTGTCCGGTAAATGGAACACAACAGTGTGTATTTTGCATTGTTGGTAATTGAAATTCACTGTCCGATGCGATTTACAGATAAATGAATCATTTTATGCGGTAAATTAGTATCACAATCAATGCCCCTTTCAAGTTGACCACCTTTCATCAATTATTGTTGGTAAATATAATTTACTGTCCTATCCGCGAAACCCGTATTCCAGATAACTGAAGCACTGTATGCAGAACATATCGTTTCACATAAATATCGTCCAGTTGGCGAGGTTTCCGGCCATCTGTGATCAGGATAAGAGGAATTTCAATGTTACTGAAGTACACTTCAAAGCGACATTAACAGAAACTCACTCACTCATTCATGGTGACAAATTAGTATCACAATCAATGCCCCTTCAAGTCAAACGCCTCTTATCAAATATAATATGAGGTGTTTCATGTAAATACTTCCCAAATTGAAACTCAAATATCAAACTTAAACGAAAACCTGCTGAAAAAGTACGTTTGTTTGATTCCGATAAACTTTAACATCATGTATTATTTGATTTATTTTTCCATGTGATATATCCGGATGTGTAGCACAATTACGAAAGGGTTTCATTTTTTCAGTACGTCACTTAATCCTCCTAATTTCTTTCACGTACATATGTCTCAACACAGAAAACTATAATAAATATGCATTTTTACGGGAAGCCTTTATTGTATTAAGAAAAATGAGATTGCACTTGAGTAATCATAAAGATGTAACAATGGCATCCCGTAGGTTTAGTGTGTTAAGGTCGAATCTGGTTTATTGAAATAACGAATGTGTTAATCACACACGTTCACATCAGCCTCAGGAAGTATGTCTTATATTAATTTCATTTGATAAAGGTGTAAACAATTTCTTTTGTTGTTGTTGTAAAACTGACTGTGTAGTGCATGTGGTAGGATAAGACATGTTTTAAAGTGATAATTGAACAAACAAGCTAAATCCTTCTTTCCGACAAGAAGGGTTATTCATGGATTTGTTGGTCAGAATGACATCCCCGTGCCAGAATCCTATGATCATGAATCACAGATTCTCCCTGATTATGTTTTTAACTTTGTTCTCCGTCCTAGGTTTCACCAATGTGGTAAAGGCCCAAACCGATATCACATCGGGGTTTTTCCCCCAAAAAAGGTGACACCCTGTAATTTTACTGATACATTGTCCAAAGTGACGTAAAACTATATACATCATTCTATACTTTCCAGAATGATATTAAACAATACTGTATGATAACTAAAAGTTCTTCTTTTAAATTGATTGTAACAGAGATCCTTTTGTAAGATCTGGTCGTCCTGACACACTCTATTTTGCTAGAGTCAAAATACACGTTTCCACTCTGGTGCTGTTCAATATGTACAGAGAGAGATGTTATTTCATATCACCCGGATGTCATTTATATTTGTCTTCCTGTAAAATGTTGATGAACGCAACAAAAGAATAAATTATTTTTAAAAATAAAGAAATATCTTAAGAAGCTGATACATAGAGGTTGTTTGGGGATGGTAAATATCCTGCATTAGGAATAAACATTGTATTTAGCGAGCCTTGGCGAGCTAAATACATAGTGTTTATTCCTAATACAGGATATTTACCATCCCCAAACACACAAGCGTGATAACCTCTTTATCATATAATGTCATTCTTTTATTCTGTGCTTTAAAATCGCTTTCCCTCTCTCACAAAAATTACCGAAACATTGCGAGTTTTCCTGGAATGCGCGCATTAAAATTTATTACGTCACAGGGTAAGTGATGTGTCAGTAGGACTGTGACAGTAGCCAATATAGTTCCAACTGAAATCTGTTTCATATACAGTGGCGAAGCAACTTATACGCAAAACAACAGTTGTTTTTAATTGCCTTTCGTGGCAATCTATCGGTCTGTCCGCTAGAGTAACTGCCCTTTGTCAAAGGGAAGCTACTCTAACCCTAGTCTATGAGACACGGCCACGGTCAGACGTTGTTGACAGTCGGTCTGTCCTTTCATAACGTTAAGAAGTGTAGTCAGATTTACACACAGCGACAAATCGAAACAAGGTAACAGTTCAAACATATTTCGGCCGAATCCAACCATTTTGATTTGTGGAGAAGGTTTCAAGCCACAGAGGTCTACAAGCACAGATATGGCTACTGATCCCGCTTGGCTAGGCCTCGTGCCCTCGCAATATTGTTTCGAAATTTATATCTCCAAAGTTTCCAAAACTTATAAAATGCCTTAGCTACGTCACGGTTAGACACTGATTTTCAGTATATTAGACTGTTCGTTTGATAATGATAGCAATTATCCCTGTCGTTTGTCCAGATTCACGATGGTTAATTCTGACTCGATCGCCGAATGACGAGGGCGACGCCATGTTTGTTTATAAACAGTGAAAGTAGTCCTACTTGACCTTTGGTATTTGCATCTCTATCCGCATATGACCCCAACGGATATCGTTTTTATCCGTTGGCTTTATCCTGCCGAGAAACCTACCCATTATATGATAAACTGATTTTACTGCATTGATAGGCGTGTTGATATCCACAAAACAAAATACAATACTGACTTCAGTGGCAGACATATCACCATCTAGATATTGTCAACATCACTCAGTTATCTAGATGTGGCACGGATTCAGGACTAACCCATGCACTTACCCAACTCAAAATCAAAACTCCTCAAATTCCTGTCGGCTTTTTATCCAATATGTGGCCTCAATACGGAATATGGTGTAAATACAACATGCGGAATGGAACCGACTCAAACAGGAAATATGTCAGTACTCTAAACTGGTTTTATACGACAGTTTATTTTTCCTCTACCCAGCAATATTGTCAGTTGAAAGCTATAAATGTAATGCACTAGTATAACGTTGCATTCAAAACATAACGCGAAACAGACGTAGCAGAATCACATACAACCCTCGTTACGGCTTGATTGTTTTCCTCTAAGAGGTCAAATGCTAAAATTATCACAAGGGACCGTTTACATGTGTAGGAAGGCTCAGTGTTTGATCTCTGTATCTAAATGGGTTATCATCAGCCATGGCAGTGCAAGGCTGAAAGTTATTCAGATTGTATTATACAGAATGTCCACGTGATATTATATCACCTGACGAAATTGGTGTTGGTATCACAAGTAGTGTAGCGAGCACTTCACAACATACAGCATGGAAACAGAACCGCTCCTGCAAAAGGTGGAGGACACTCCTGAATCTGGAGTAAAGAAATCTCAGATCAAGAATCTCTTGTTTGGCAATATGATATTATTCATATTAACACTAGGGGAGTCAATGTTCTCGCCAGTGATGAGCCAATATCTCTACAAACGGGTGACGGAGGACGTGTTCAGTAACCACACGGTGGCGGGGAAAGGCCCGATGAATCACAAATGTTACCTGAACACATCCAACCCAGACTACATCCTTCAGGAGAAGGCACAGCAGGTCGCTGCAGCCAAACAAATGCAGTTTACAATCATGAAAAGCAGTCTAGCCGTCATCGTTAACATCATGCTTGGTTCCTATTCGGACTCAATTGGTCGCAAGCTCCTCTTTGCTGCACCTCTGACTGGCCACTGTTTGAGATTTGGATTTACAGCAGTCATTATCTACTGGAAGTTGGATATCAATTCGTTTTTTATAGCAGAAGGGATAGACGGCCTAACAGGGGGCTACTATGCTATGTTGCTTGCATCGTACGCCTATGCTGCTGACAATACTCCGGCGACAGGTGCTCGAACCATGGGCATAGCCTTCGTGGAGTTCTTTCAGAGCTTGGGATTTGCTGCCTCATCAACAGCAGCTGGCTTCTTCATCCAAGACGTGAACTTCTTCTATCCGACACTGACTGCCACACTTATCGTTCTCGTGGACATTATCCTGGTGGTGACACTGCTGCCTGAGAGAAGGGGGATTAAAAGAGCGAAGAGCAATTGGTTTACACCCCTAGAAGGATGTCGACGAGTATTCGGATTTTATGTTTTGGAGGGCAGTAAACGGAAGCGAATATGTTTCATATTAGCTATCTTGATATTCGTTTTTACTGCCTTGCCAGGCGTGGGGGCGTCTAATATTAACACACTATTCAAACTGAACCTTCCATTTTGCTGGACCCCTGAGAAAATAGGTTACTATAGTACAATAAGCTCTGTGGCAAGACAGGTGATCGGCGTTCCGTTGACGCGACTGTTACAGTGTTGCTGTATTGATGAGGTGATAGGAGTGATTGGTTCTCTGGCGATAGGTGCAGCAGACAGCCTACAGTCCATTGCAAGCACAGACTGGATGATGTATGGACGTAAGTACATAGTGAAATATGATCGACTATTTTATCTTTCCGGGGACCTGTGATTTTTTACGAAATATAAGCCATTTTCACTTTGATTCACTGAGACTTAATGATTATTTGTGACATTTAGATATTGATATACTAACTGTGATATGATACATCAAAATGTTCCAAAAGTTAGATTGATAAATAACACTCTTCATATTATTGTTCTTCCAGTTGCGGGCATCCAAACCCCTAGTGCCACCTTGTTCCCAGTTGTTCGCTCCATCTTGTCCCGGTTGGCTCCAGCCGACAAACAAGGTCAGAATGTATACATAGAGGATGTTATAAATATTTCATGTCCATTAAAGCTCCTTCACTAACAGTCTATGAAATAACGAGGGACTCGAATTGTATGAATGGCGCTTGCTACCGACACCCTTTTCGCGAACACCTGGTGACATCATCACTGATTTTCAGTGGCCCATGCATGTAATGTCCACAGCTATTTACCATTTACTCCAAGTGGAATCTGTTTCAGTAGAACATCTAGGCTGGTTATTCTCTTGAAAGGACAATTTATATATATATAAACCGAGGGCCAAAAGAAACGTTACCAACATTTACTGATTTGCCACTTTGAAACAAAGATGCCAACCTGTTCAAAAACAGTAAAGAGAGCGGTTGCCATTAACATGAACTGCTCCAAGATGACCATTACCAGACTGGTCGCACGTCTCCGACAGACTGGCAGAACCGCAGACAGACCACGGAGTGGCAGACCTAAGGTCACGACCCCGCAGGATGACCGTTTTTACGGGTACTTCATCTGAGGAACAGATTTCTTACTGTGACGTCATCAGCTGCAAACAGCTTAGGACGTCAGGTCAGCAGACAAACAGTGACCAGACGACTACGACATTATGGTCTCCGGGCTTATCGCCCTTTTAAGGGCATAACCTTGACCCGTCAACATCGACGTGCCAGATTGACGTGGTGCTGGCAAAATCAGCGATGGCAGCAAAGGGAATGGCGGCGAGTGCTGTGACGAGACGAGTGACGAGAGCGGGTTCCAACTCTTCAAACCTGATGGGCGGACGCGAGTTTATCGACGCCTTGGTGAACGTACGGCTCCTTGTTGTGTCCAGGAGGTGGAACTTTACGGGGGCGGAAGTGTGATGGTCTGGGGCGGCATTTGCGGGGACGAGAAGACGGAACTTGTCATCATTGAAGGCAATCTGACAGCACAACGCTACATTGACAATATTTTACGGCCAGTGGTTCTTCCTTTCATCCAGCGTTCCAACAAGATAACGCCACACCCTTAAAGCCCGTATTACTAGAGACTTCCTCAACGCCAACAACGTGACTGTCCTGCCGTGGCCAGCTCGATCACCAGATCTGTCACCCATAGAACAACTCTGGGACCAGCTGGGGCGTCGTCTTCGAAAACGTCAACATCCTCCCTTCACGAGACAAGCGTTGATCGTTGCCCTCCGTGAGGAATGGAATCGGATACCTGCAGTCGATGTGAGGACGCTTGTCTACTCAGTTCGACGCCGCATTCGAAGATGGTTTAAACATATTTGTATTCATTGAAATGAGTTGGGATTGGTGAACAAGCTTTACAGCTTATGTTAACAACGCTCCTATACAACATATATTACATATTGAAATGAAGGATGTGACGTCATCGATATAGACATTATTTAAATAATAAGTTTGGACATATTACATCAAATACAAATACAAAGTGAACATAAATAGAAAGTTACAGCTTGTGTGTGTCTAACAAGTCGTTTGTAACAAAAGTAATAGTCAATCATGAGGTTATTGTCCGGTTAATTTAATTATTAATTTGTGAAGAGCTGAAACGTTTTGTCTTGATGATGAAATCGAGGACGGATTCAACTAATTTCTGGTTTTCAGAGTGAGCAAGTTCATTGTTTCCGTTCATAATAGTATCCAGGTTATAACCGGTAGTGTAAAAGTGCAAATTAAGTCTTATCTGAGTAAAGTTACAGCAAGTAAAAAAATAATGTAGGGCATTTTCACTCTGATATCCACAGGAGCAACACGGACTGCCAATTAAATGTATGTTATGATACTTATCGGCGCTTAGGTTGATGCATTGCCGCTCATGGAGGTCATATCCCGTATTGAACGGTCTGGGCCGGCGTTACCTTAAAGTTGTAACCAATGTTGTTGATTGAATACTGGACGAATGACCCCTTGTCAAGAAATGGCCCTGTTGGAGGTCAAGGACTTTGTTGTTGAATAAGTAAATTCGCATTTTACTGTTCTGAATGATGAATTTCTACAATACAATTGTTATTGCAGAAAAAGTAAGTGGCTTTTGGTTCAGTCTGAACCAATCGAAACCAATCGTTGTAGGTTCCCTGAAAGCAAGCATACACACGTATTATCACACGTACAGGTTACATGTATGCCCATATCATAGTAAGCCCGTGGGGACTCGGGTGGGATGGGCTCCGAGAACTTTATTGCTTAAGCTCCTATGCAGATACAATTAACTGCCATCGTAACCGCCAATCACTGGTTTGTCTTACTGTTGCCAACTAATTTACCGTCCACCGTGGTATAGCTGAAATATTGCTGACCGCAGTGTGAAGCAACATAATTTAAAAAAATACACATCTATGTACATAGCTGTACCATTGTTGCAGGTTCCCTCTTCGCCAGTATAGCGGTGGTGGAGACGATGTGCTCGCTGGTGGGGACTCCTATCTTCAGCAGCATCTACCAGGACACGGTGGTGGTGTGGAGAGGGATGGTCTTCATCTTCTTGGGAGGCACACATGTTGTCGGTGCTATTGTTCTTGTGTGAGTATTTAATGCACTTCTTTGTCCATATTCAATAAATTATTTCTCGTTTAGTTTGTCATCTGATGATTGATTGAGAAGGATGTTTACGCAGTTTTAATAATATTCCTACCCATGACAATTCTTGGTAAGAATAAAATCGCCAGCATATTTTGCTGAGGCGACAAGATAGGTCGAGTTGTCAGGAACGGTGATGTGCTTCATTGCGTGTCATCGAACCCCGACGGCGTGGAAAGTCGCTCACAATATCAATCACTGGATTATCTGGACTTTACAAGCCGCCGTCATACAGCTGGAATATTTCAAACAAACAATATTCCTGTCATATCAGCCAAACCTTTAACCACTAGGCTACTCGATCTCTCAATTCAGCAGATGAACGATACATACTGGTACATGAGGTTTCCAGGGAACGACTTCTTCTGTCATCATCAACCCGCAGCCTGGACCACATGCGGGGAAAAAAATCGTTTCAAATAATATATGTACTTTTCACTAGCGATATGCACTTGGCCACTGAACACAAATTTGACCTGTGTAATTCTAGTCGCGAATGTGCACGAGCATGGGTTAAAATGTCAAAAAATCACAACTCGGTCTGCTCCCTTGCTATGAATCTAGGTGAAATACATGAAGGTCAATAAACTTGTACCGGAAAGTGAATAACTAAATTCAAATGCAGGGCCCGTTCTAGGTATGTATCGCTGTTCGTGAGATTTTATCACATTAAACTTTAGTCCGTCAGAGCATAACTCATACTTACAGAGCAATTGTCACCAGTGAATGAATGTTTCAGGTTTTGCAAATGATCATTTTACAAACAGTGCGGAACATAAAGACCTATATATAATAGTAAATAAAACATATTCTCTGTGCGGACTAGTCAAAGTTTTATCACTGATATATATGTTCACTGGGTAATCCCAAAAGGATGCAATTGTCACGCCTATTCTTTGTTTCAGGATCTATATATTCGTGTCAAAACCGATCAGACATAACGGCGATGTTCCGCAGGCTCAGTGCGATGTTCAGCAGGTTCAACCAGGTGTTCCACGTGTTCAGCGCGTAGTCACAGTGCACAAAGGGACACAGACAGAAGTAACCGGAGATCCAACAATGCACGAGCATGCGCTGTCAGTGGCAGGCCAGGAGGTGGCAGAGATCACCCAGGCCAGCATACACGTGCACGTTCAGTCGGCGTATGGCGAAGAGGATGGACACTATATTAAAACAGAGGAGTAGGTGATTTTCATGACGCCGGTAACAGGCTTGCCTACGTCAAACATGGAAATAATCCCATTTGACCACTGAGCTCAGTGACAGACATATATTATCCCAAAGTGCTTTCATAATATGTTTGTTATGCATGCTACATTCTGATGAATGACTATTCAATTATCTCAAGAAACTCCGTGGGGAACACACACACACACACACACTCACACACTCACACTCACACTCACTCACTCACTCACTCACTCACTCACTCACTCTCACACACTCACTCACTCACTCACTCACTCACTCTCACACACACACTCACTCACTCACTCACTCACTCACTCACTCACTCACTCACTCACTCACACACACACACACACACACACTCACTCACTCACTCACTCACTCACTCACTCACACACTCACACACACTCACTCACACACTCACTCACTCACTCACTCACTCACTCACACATGCAGGATGCTGAAATGCTTTACGCCGAAGCGCGTATTGGTATTTTACTTTTCTGATTCATTTTGTCGTCGTGGTTTCTGGCTGCGATCTGTCGAATCCCTATGCCGGAAAATCAAAACGTTGCACATTACTATGGGGACCAGAACACTGATGTTCCGCAAACGAAATCTAAACCTTGGGGAAAAGTAAACTGCCATTTCAACTGAACGCCCAGAACAATACATCTGGGTATTACGTTCAGTCTCCTTCGAACATTATTTCTTCTATGTTATATCAGGTTTTTGTTCATTTACTGGACGCTTATGGTAGTTTTTCACCATGAAATGAAATATCTATCTATAGACACAATATCGTGTCATCTTGATAACGTCAAGACGCCATTATCAACATAATAGTAAAAGATCGTAACACGGCTAGTCTACAACAATTTACTTAAGATCTAGACCCAAAGTGCCGTTTCCTCTTTCTCCGTTACTTCAACACAACCTAACCCGATATCCTAGCAACATTTCCAAAACATAAGATCACTTATCATTACTTACCAGAAACATTAGAATTCCCCAATTAACTGATAGTGTTTTCATTCGTTACGGTAACAGTAAGTGCATGTCGCAACCATGTGAAAGGACTCGTTCACAATGGACTCGGCATTCAGCATGTATTTCTTTGGAGTTTGTTGGTTTTATTTATCCTGATGATTTTTTTCGTCCTTTTTCCTGTTTATTGCAATCTGAAAGAAATCTTTGAGAGCAAAAACTACCTCAATACAGTAAATGAGAGTGGTGAGAGAACATCATTATATTTTGTACATTGCTTTATTTAATTTACTTCGTCCAGCGGTTGTATGTATATTGAACTACCTTATTGCTCTTTACAGATTTTACATTGCAAGAAGCCAGATGAATATATTTCCTTAACAAATTAAAGATAAAAGATAAATATAGAAGTGAAGATACCTCATTTGTGTCAATCTTTGCCTTTTGATTTATGTAAATTACGCATTTATCAACTATATAGACACAACACTAGTAACTCCAAATTCCTTAGATATACAGGAGAAATGTAATAAGTTCTATAATGGATAGATAGATAGATTGTCTTTATTTCCTCCAGTATTGAAGATACATTATATAAGATAGATATATGAATATAGATTAAAACTATACAAAGTCGTTACATGTCATTGTGAAGGGGTATGAACAAATGCTGCCACTTGTTAACGTAATGAGAGACTAGTAACATAGTTTCGCCCAATATCTCAAGCTCAAGGTCTTTCATGCAATCAGGCAGTCCGCCTAAGAGGAAAGACATGATAACATCATCATCATTCGACCAAAGGTCAACAAAGGAATTTGCATCCGTGATATCAAAGATATTTTCGAACATTTCATTTCTTTCTTGCATAATAATAGTACATGACATAAAAATGTGTTTGACTATGTCATGGGCAACAGTTCCGTATTAACACTCTTGCGATTCTATCTTAGAGCAGCCTATTTTGACCATATTAGACAGAAATTAAACTTTGAAGGAAATCGTAACGAAAGCTCCCAAATCCTGTGTTGACCTTCTGATCTGATACTAGTATATCTTAACAGGTCCTGTCGGTCGCACATTTGTTTCACAATCCTTGCAGAATCTGCATTTCTTATCTTTTCATTCACAAGACTAGTCCGTTTACATTTACTGGGAACATTTCAATTATCTATGTAATCATTCAAGAAATGGAAAAGATCGTATTTATGTACCAGGCGCAGCATGTTGAAACAGGGAGATTTATAACACATTTTGGCAAAATCTGGTTGACATTTGTATTGCCCAAGTCTGCCAATCAATAGTTGTTTGAAATAGAAATTAAGCTAGATCGCCACAGTTTACCAAATAAGATCAGAGCTTGTTTATCAATATATGGCTGAATGGTAATAAGATCTAGACTATCCAGTACAACTTGGCTTGATGTAAGTCTTGGTAGACTCTGTACTATTTTACTGAAGTAGCGCTGTGGTATTTCCAGCAATTCATACTCTCTACCAGTAAGTTGCCCCCATACATTGCATCCATATTAGGCACATGGTAAGATAACTCTCTGTAGTATTCGCACAGCCGCAATTGGGTTCAACCCAGCGAAATACAAACCATTGTTATGGTTTACATAATAATCTTTTCAGTTTTTCGCATGCAATACGCGAGCATTCGAGTGTTGAGATACTGTTACTAAGGCATGCCCCAGCATATGTTACAAAATTCTTTTGTGGCAATTCTATCTTTCCACAGGAAACATGAGGGTCCGGCACATTATATTTACAGTGCGAAATTACTACGACTGCACTTTTATTCACATTATAAACCAAACGCCATCTACACGCATAATTGTGAGCAATATCTAGCAGGTTTTGCAGTGCTGATGGAGAGCTACTAATAATGGTTGTATCGTCTGCTAGCAGTTGACCCGGATAGTGACCCCAAGGTAAGCGGAGGCCGTAGCCAGAGCAATCAAGCTTGCAAATGAGATCGTTGATATATAATGTGAAAAGCCAGGCAGATAATACACGTCCTTGACCAACACCTTGATAGATAGAAATACATCTGAGCTGTAGCGTATGTAACATATGATTGCATGGACGAATAGGCATTACGCAAAAGACGCCATGTTTTGCCAGTTATACCCATGTCATCTAGCTTAAAGGGGCACTGATCTAACGCAATTCCCCGGGACTGGTTGTTGCCTTTGTTATTGTTTTTTCCCAGTGAGTACCCGGATGTATAGCAGAAATCTAGACTAGTTCGCGACCTCTGCTGCGCCATTCGTAAGCGCATTAGTCACTTGTATGGGTAGTAATAAGGGCGTATGGTCACATTGATCAACAAAATGAAATACAGTTTTCGAGATAATAAGGAAATGTAGGTATCTTTGTGGGTAGCATCGGTAATGGTGACGAAGTTTTGATAAGACACTTGCTTGGTAATTTTGCGATTTTCGTTTACACTATTTTGACTTGCAACACAAAGTTAATATTTCACCTGAGCATTGCTTTTATATAGTGTGTATATTTTTTTACTGTCAAAATTTGTAACATTTTCAAATTTATTAAACGCCTAAATATTCAGTTATTTTACAAAGTGACTGAAAAACATTTCCATCTGTATTATTATGATAACGAATTCCAAACATTTTGATGTTTAATGTCATCACCAAGAGACTGAAGATATTACGTTGAAAAGTACATTTCTATGTTGTTTGGCTTCTAATCCTAAATAATAATCAGTTGTGATGTTTGTAGGCCCTTTTAATCGTCTTAATCAATCTTGACACATTTTTTAGTCAAAATGACTGAAATATTTACACATTTTACAAATTGCCTGAGAGAATCACGTTTTACAAATTGACGGTAATATATACACGCTTACAAAGGAAAAGGCCTGTGAAAACAACGTCTATCGCGCATTGAAGAATTTCCCAACCAAGACGTAGAGAAACAAGGACGAATCGGTTCAATGTTACAGCAAATGAAGGAAAACAAAATGCAAATACCATAATTACAACCTACCAAATTTATGTGTATAAATTTTAGGCAGCTTCCTTGTTCGAGGAATGTATCCATGAATATCCACACAAAGGAACAATATCCCAATCGTCTGCAGCTGTACAAAAAAACTTATTCGATGTCACGTGTCTCTGTAACAATTAACATATTTTTAAAAATATATATCGTTTGGGGATATTTTAACCCGTGTCCGTTTCTCAACTGATCACTTGGATTGTTTCAGGTGTTTCACGTAGGTGTCAAGTCTCAAGGGTCAGCTGAGAAAGCCCACGTGACAACTATTTTCATAACGTCCATAGTTCCTAAAAAATCCATTAAGTGATAGATAACAATGATCAATCAATCAACGTATTATCAGTTAACCCTTTGAACAAAGTATGTTGTTTTTACATCGGCACTTCACGCCATGATATGAGTGTATTCCCTTTGTTTTAGTAAACCTAGACATGTAAACACTCACTTTTGACATATCCACTGTGCAAAATAACAGTGATTAATCAATCAACGTATTTTCTGTTAATCCTTTGATGACTAGGAACGATCCGTTGATTTACAAAAAAAAGTAAATCAACTGATCATTCACCTCTTGCTGGTCTGCCACGTGCATATAACATAACATACATTTCACCTCACTTCAAACCTGGATTTAGATTGAATAATTACCCCAGACACAATAAATGCCAAATGGGAACCTTTGTCAGGTAATCTAAGTGGTGCTTCCACTAATTGTACCTGTAATAAATTCCTTAACTGAGCATCAAGTGAATGACGACAAATACACAAGTGTAGGGGTTATACGAGAAAACGTGAATGACAACAAGGGAGTAGATATCGTATTATCGACGCAATCCGAAATCCGAAAATGCTTTCACTGCATGGATACTTTTTTTTAGTATTAAACTATAACCATCCAGGGTATTTCCAAATGACGACATCCGATGAGCTCTGCCGTTCTTTTTGTCTGTTTGTTTAGGCTGAAGAAATTAATTAACATGCGCCCTTTGTCGAAATCTTTATATTATAGATCCCGGTTAACCAATCAGTGTTTATGCAAAAATGCGTAAAACAAATATTGCCTCCAGCCTCCAAGTTTATTTAGCTGTCCTAGCAGACGGTAGCCCAGTCTCTGGTCACGCTCAGTTGCGTTGCGTATCATCCGGGTACTCACGGGGGGAAAAACAATAACAAAGGCAACAACCAAT